GGGGGAGGTCGTTGCGCCGCGCGACATGTAGAAGCCAGCAGCCGGCCTGGCGCAGCAGCCTCATCCCCCGGCGGGGCGGGGCGGGGCGGCTAGACGACCAGGGGAATGGACCCACCCCCACCCGGTTCGCCCCCCGCGCCGGTGTGCTCACCCCGGCGGGCCCCTGACAGGGCGGCACGGTGCGTTCACTTTCACCCTACCGCGTCCAGACGTCTCCGTCTCTGTTTCACTGACTGCTGATCCAGCCCCTCTCATCTCGCTCGCTCTCATTGCCCGCCCCGCCCTGCCCCGTTCCGCCCCGCCCGCCCCGCACGCTCTGAGTCGGTGTGCGCTGCTCCTGACGTGTCTGGGGGGCGGGGGGTGGTTTTGGGGGCAGAGCAAGGTGAATGTGCGGACAAGGCGATGAGCGGGGGGTGGGGTGGGGGTGGCGAGTGCCGTCCCACAGGACGCCAAGAAGACGTTTCACCTCGGGTTCGGAGACCCACTCCAGGCCCACTCCAGAACAACTCCAGGTCCGACTCCAGCCCGCTCCAGCCTCCCAGGGGGGGTGGATGGTGGATGGAGCAGCGGTCAGTACACACCGCTCGGCCAGGGCACGCCCACCTCACCTCACCATCGGCGTGTTTGTATTGTGTTACCAGCGTCCTTGGCAGGGAATACAGCTCGACTGTAGAGGTAACAGCGAGGGCATAACCTTCCCAGCCGTGCCCAGCGCGTACAGGCGTGTGCTCGCCCCGCCGCGCCGTGCCCTGCTGCCCTTCTCATCTCCTGTCAGGGGCGCATTGAAACTTTTCAAGGCAGAACGCTCTGGTGGGCGGACTAGGCTGGGGCCTCCCTGCGTTACAAGGTCGCCTGGGCCCGCCTCTCGCCTTGTACCACGGCGGGCCGGGGGCGCGGGGCGGCGCAGCGGCGGGCTTTGAACCCCCGCGCTGCCACCCCGCGCCGCCACCCCCTCGCCCAGCCCCCTCGGGCCTCGGAGGACGCCAGGGGGCCGGGCCGGCGGCCTCGTTGATGGGCCTCACATGGTGTCCTGACGGCCTGATGACCTCTCCTCTCCGGCCTTGTCGCGAAGGGGTCGAAAGGGGGAGGGGATGCTGTTGATTCGCCGTTAAAGCCCCGCTTTCTTCCATTTTGTTGAAAGAGAGAGGTCTGGGGAGAAGGGGGTTGTGTTCGCCCAGGTTCGACGGCCCCATTCAGTCCACGTCTCGCGCTAGAGCGCTAGAGTAGGGTCAATAGGATTTGTTTTGCAAAGGAAAAGGAGAGGGGTGGGGGGGGGCACAGTTTTCTTTTTCTGTGATCTTTGCTTAAGGGTTTACGTCCAACGATTTTTATCAACACAATCTTTTTCGGAGGCCGTGAGGATATAAATGGACTCTACCAACCTTTCGGTCAGGTTGAGCGGTCGAGCAACCCTCGCAACCAGACTAGTTCGGACAGCGGGCGAAACGGACAGCCGGGCATCTGTTTTGTTTCAAAGACTGACGGTCAGCCCCGCGGCCAATATGCATTGGTTTCCGATTGGATGCCAGCTGCCCCCTCTCCCCCTTTCTACGCCTCTGTCCCTGAATGAGAATCCTGAGCCTGATCCGCCTGGACGCTGCGGATGGGGATGGGAGAAGGGGGTTGGGTGGCGGTGGGGTGGGGAGAGAGAATAGTGCGCCAGTTTGAGCCCCTGGGAGAGAGGAAGGGCAGCGCAGGGGGCGGTGGACGAGGAGCAAATATTGTGTCCTCGCCCAGCCCCTGGGGGGTCCATAGCACGGCCGGGCTGGACAGCGGCCGGCACCATCCCCAGCGGGCGTGACCTTTGCGTGGCCCGGCCGTGCGAGGCGAGCCCCCAGTCCAAGAGTCCCGCCAGCCGTGGTCTGGTAGCACTGGCACTGCGGGTAGCTGCAAGTGGTGAGTGCGGAGGTGGAGGGGCCGGTCGAGCACGAGCACACCCGGCCCCGGCCCCCGGCCACGCGCGGCGCGGCGGGGTCAACGCGCCCCGGGGCAGGGAAAGGCCAACGGCGACGGCGAGCACGCGTCGAGGACGGTGCGGGGGTGGGGGCGGGAATGGTGGTGGTGGTGCTTTTGGTGGTTGAGGTGGTTATTACCAGGCCGGTCGAACGCTATATTACCCCCAACCAACCACCTTTCCATCCCCCTGACCCTCCTCCGACTCCGACCCATCGCGCTCTTGATTGCAACCCCCCCGGGGTCCCGGCCGGCTGCGGCTGGCCCGGGCGGCGCCCTCCCCTGGCCGGGCCGGGTCGTGGCTGGCCCACCCCGGACGAGGGAAGTCGATCTGTTCCGGCGTGCCGCCCGCGAACTGAACACGGAAGGCTCGCTAGGGCAAGTGGCTGACCTCCGACCCACCACCACCACCACCACCACCACTACCACTACCACGCCACCACGCCCCGCCCGGTGCGCAAGTGGCTGTCACTCCGGGGGCACTTTGGGCGCGGAACACGGACTGCCAATGGAAGGGGGTGGGGACAAGGGGAGGGGCGACAGGCGCTAGGCCCTGCGCACCGGACACGGGAACGGGGAGGGAGGGGGGGATGGAGGGTAATGGCAAAGTCGTTGAACTGATGATCGGTGCGGGCTAGGCTGACTGCCGGGGCTGGCACCAGCCAGTGCCCCGCTGTGCCCCGCCGGCTATCGACCGGACAGTCTACCTCGGTAGCGTGACCAGCTCGGCACCTGCCCTGCCCGGCACAACAGCCAAACACCGCAAGTCTAATCAGGCTGTGATGTGCATGCGACAAACGCGACAACCTGGACAGCGGCGTGCAGCTGGTGCAGCTGTACAGGTGCATGGCGCTGGCGCTGGCGCTGGCGGCACGGCGGCAATGTCAACGGCCGGGTTACCCCTCGCTTCCCACTCACACACACATACTACTGTGCTTGGTCCGGGCTGCAGTTTCCGGTCTGGGGGCCAAACGGAAACGAAGCGCACCGGAAACGGTCCTCGCGGTCCTCGCGCTGCGCGCGATGTGTGTGTGCGCGCGTGTGTATGTGCGAGCGCGCGCGCGGCCAGAGTTCGAATTTATTCGCCGCGCCGCGGCATTTATTGCGCCGCAACACGAAACTACAAGTTCCGCCCGGCCACTGGACCACTCTTGGACAGTGCCGAAAAACTAGTATCATAGCTCATCGATTCAGCCTCCTGGTTTGTTTTACGTTCGGCTCCAGCGTTCGCCCCCCTCTCCCCCTCTCCCCCTCTGCTCACCATACCTTACCTTACTGCTGTGTTGTCAGACCGGGCGCGCTATACCTGCCGGCCAGCTGAGGTCCCCGGCTCCGCTCAAGCTCCGTTATGAAGTGCACCGGAGCTCCCGCTCTCCCTCTCCATCAGTCAGGATGGCCGAGCGGTCTAAGGCGCTGCGTTCAGGTCGCAGTCCACTTCTGTGGGCGTGGGTTCGAATCCCACTTCTGACAGAACCTTTTTCCTCTGTGATTTCTTTTAAACCTTTTGCGAGTCAGTTGGCGTTTGCCTTGGTGATCAGATTTCGAACTTGTGACTATGTGTGCTTCGGCTCTTCGCCAGTTTGGCGGTGGTGTGGATGGTGACGTTAGCACGCTTCAGGTTGAGAGGTTGAGCCTGGGCGTCGTCGGGTTGCCCTAGTGCGCCGTAGTCGCATAGGGCTTCCTTCGCTTGCGTTCACGCCTCGCGTGGTGCTTGCGTCGCCCGGCCCACCCGTTGGCCAGGGGAGCCGAATAGGTTGCCTACCGCCCGGGCTCGCTGCCAGGCCAGGCTGAGGGGCAGGCATTGCTCAGGAGGACGTTTGCTCACGGTAACTGAACTTTTGTTGCAGAGGAAAGCTCCAGGCGTCGTTCTCGACGCGCGGCCGCGGCCAGCTCCATCAGCATGGCCGTGGACACTCTGTCGCCGAGCCCAGCGGCACCGCTGCTCGCCGCCGCCGCCCCCACGGCCGCCGCGACGCCCGCGGTGCCGACGGCGGCGGCGCGCCGCCTCAGTTCATCGGCGAGCTCCCACACCCCGCCCCTGGTCCAGGACGGCCGGGGCATGTCGCCGCTGACCGCCTATCGGCTCCGGTCGCCCGTCATCAGGAAGGTGTCCCCCATCCGGGTGACGCCCCTGCTGCCCGCCAACAGGCTGTCCCCGAGGTCGCCTCTCACGGCCACCTCCTCCGAGACCAGCAGGTCGTCCGCAAGGTCACCGCTTACGACATCGGCCTCGGATATCGGCAGGACGCCGTCGAGGACGCCTCTCCTAAGCGCGGCCTCTTCAGCTTCATCTGACGCTCCCAAGAGCAGGTGCGGTAACCAAGTTTAAAAAAATTGTTTTGAAATTTGCACTTTAAAAAAAAGTAAAATAACAACAACAAAAAGAAATTTGCATGTTGTCCATTGTCTTTTTCTAGTTCTAGTTATACCCCATGAAAGTATTTCATGATGGGGGAATTCAATTACTGGCCTTCCCTTTCTTTTCACCTATCGTTGACTCCGTTGCCTGGATGTAATGTCAGAGCTCTTATTGGCAGTCCAGCGACCTGTTGCGCGGGATAGTGGGGCCAGCAGAGTAGTGTTGACTGTTGACATCGGCGACTGCCGGCGGCGGCATGTTGGGCCGTTTAACCAGTCTTATACACATCTGTTTTATTTTAGCTACTTTAGCCGTGTGAAAAAAGAATGATTTGGGAATGTTTTTAATTTGTTGCGACGGCTGCTAATGTTCTTTTAAATTTTATTTCATTTTGTTCCATTTTATCCCCTTTACTCGATTTTTAATAGTATGAATTTTAAAACTTTTAAAAACTTAGTTTCACGTCTTGACATCCTTATGGATAATTATTACCTGGATTATTAGTGTTTGCATCACAATGCCTTACCATTTACGTAGTAATTGCAAAAAGAGAAGTTGTTGCGTCAACATCTCTCCTGAGAAAGTGGTAAAAAAAAGGAAACATCGGTGAGGTCACCTGCTTTGCAATGTGTTCAAAACACTCACGTCCTGTCTGAAATTTTCTGTGAATTGCATTTGACATTATACTTTTTGTTTATTTTAGGACTAATGTTGGTGAAAGCTCAGCGGAATCCAAAGCTGAACAGTCTGGTCCACCAAGTACCAAAAATGTAGTTATAGTTGTCAAACCAGAACAGGAGGCATCAGGAAGTACCTCATCTAGTAGCCAAAGGTAAATAACCTCTATTATATTCAAGTTGTACATTGAACTCTTTGCTACATACTAATTAATTATATTTCTGTTGTAGGACTTCTGCATCAACTGACCTTAAACCAGTTTCTATACTGAAACGAAAATCTTCTCATGAAGAGGGTTCTGTAACTCCCCCTGTAACATTCTCCCCATCTGTAGTAGATCAAACATATCGTCGACAGGGAATTCTCAAGAAGTCCGGGGGAAGTTTTGATGAGTCCCATCTTCGTAGAAGTTGTTCACCTGATACTGAGTCATCAGGTTCAATTTTGAAGAATAGGCAACAAAGAAGATCTTCCCTCGAGGAAAACTCCAATAGACAGTCAATTTTGAAAAGGAAAGAATCTGATGGACATGAGCCTCATGGTATTTTGAAAAAGAAAAATCAATGTGATAGCATAAGCAAACAAACTCATATCTCCATTGCTGACCATGTTATCATGGCTGCCAATGGTGATATTGCCTTACTTCATGATGATGATGTGAGACCTATCTTGAAGAAGCGAAGTAGCACTGAAGAACAGGCAATTGTAGATCCAGCATCTTCCTCAAGTGAAATTACACCAAGGCCAATTCTAAAGAAAAAATCTAGTACAGATACAGATGAATTGGATGAATGGCCCATAAAAACTATTTTGAAAACATCTCGAAAAAGCTCTAGAGAGGAAAATTCTGATTTAATTGAAAGCTTACGGCGGAGGTCTGTTGGTTCTGCTCCTTTATCAAGATCATCAGGCCAGAGGCTGTCTTTCTGTGAAGATGATGACCAGGGCTTAGATTCTGAAAAAGTCATTCAAAGACAAATCAGATCCTCCAGGTCGTTTACATCTGTTAGGCCCACAAGTCCGTCAGGTTCGCATAGTGACTTCAGCTCTGTTGCATGGCGAAGGAGATCCTGGGAACATAGCTCAAATACAATTAAGCAAATGGACTTGGCTCGGAGGTCCCCATCTGTTGCAGAACGGGTTTCAAATATGGAATTTGCTTTCCAATCTAATGGGGCCTTACCTAAACAGCCAAGAACACGCCCCTACCGGGCCAATACTCAACCAGTCACTGCTGAAGAGATATCGTCCTCAAACAAGTAAGGATTTTACTGTTCTCTTTTCTTTCTAGACAGTCCCTATTTTACAAAAATCAGGGTACATAGGGTTTACTTGAAGTAATACCCCATCCCATATACTATTGAATTACCATCTCATTGGTTTTGAATTAGTTTTTGGCCTTCTGCTTTAGCTCCAGGGTCTCAAATGCATAGACATCTAGGCCATGGCTAAAGCTTCACTGCCTGAGCAACTGCTAACAATTTTGGTTTCACTGGCAGAGTGCCAGCATGAGCAAGGGGGCCTCCTACTCTATATCAGGAACAGGAAAATCCCATTCAACCTCCGATGTGTTCTTTCTTTTCCTGTGTAACTTTTCAACAAT